GATTTGTCTTGGAAACAGAGTTATTATGCACCATGGAGAGAGAAGTCACTGCTGAAATATGAATAATAAGATAAAGTAGGTCTGTGCTGTTCCCTCTGTCGTCCCGGTGTGGCTTTCCCTTGGTTCTGATGACTTCTGGAATTAGTTGTGACATGTGTGGAGACAACTTCTGACCCAGAGAAAAACCATTATCATCTAATTTTATACTGCTCCCCTCCACAGGACCAATGTTATTCCTCCCCTCAAAAAAAAAAAAAAACGGGTGGAATGAGTATTTAGACCAGCAAATCTACCTGATAAATCATTTCATAGATGAGAGAGAAACCAAGTGTGAAATGGAAGGGAGATGTTTGCGAAACCACTTCATTTAAGGAGGGCTCTATAATCAACACCCACTGCTTTCCATAACCAGAAGCATGATGGGTGGGTAGGCATGTCCTGCTCGGGGCTGTGTTCCGCGCCTGCTGAGGACCACAGAGAGAGATGAATGGAGCTTGGTGGGCGGGACTCCCTGCTCCCTGCTTACAGGTGAGAAGAGAGGTGACCCGATGGGCACATTGGCTGGTAGCATGCACCTGCCAGGGTCCACGTTAAGACTGTCTACTGTGCTCTGAAAAATCGATAGGAATTCACTCAGCTGTACATTTGACACTTGATTTATTGCATGAGCACCGGGCTTCTAGATTTACATGTTTATAAGGTGAGAAAATCTAATAGTGCCAGCTTTCATTTTTCAAGCCTCCGTAAAGAACATGTTTAAATGCATCTTATACTTCAAAACAATCACTTTGAGATGTTTCTGAAAGTAGATTTTTTTGAGTCATAAAAGAAAAACATTTTTTAATCCCTTTCAGTCCTGGAGACAAATCCCAGAACCTCTTATACTCCAGATAAACACCCTACTGCTGAGCTGTACCCCGAGTGCCCCGGGATAATAGAAGAGTGTTAATTCATCACAATAATCTCCAATGCTAGTATAACAGTTTCCAAAACCAAGAAGTACTTAAGAATAAGATGACTTAAATCCACTTGCCTTGTGAACAGACAGCTCCGGTCAAAGGCGGGATTCAGCTCTCACTATCAGCACGGGTAGTACTAAAATTGATAAAAGAAGACAGGGTCCTAGAAGGAAGCTGATCTGGTTTGCCTGCCAAGTGAGTTTTATTAGGAGGGTGGCAACATCAAGTCTGCAAGCAGCCACATGTGACCCTGAAGGCCGAGAGATTGAGCCCTCCAGTCCAAAGAGCAGCTTAATAAGAGACAGAACCGTCATAGGTAGCACAAGGGAGATGCTGAAGAAGACATACTTGGTCCCAGAATACTGGGTGAGTTACAGTGCCATGGCCGTAGGCAGTCATGATGGGGCTATGACGGGAGAGACAGGTGACTCAGATCCTTCAGTTCCCTTTAGTTCTATGCCAGAGGGAGTTTCTCCATCTTATAGATTTCCAGGGGTTGGGTGGGTTAATTTCTACATGTGTGTCACAAGGCAGGAGGTGTTGAGAACGGGAGAGGAGCGGCTAGGCAGTTTAGGGTCAGGAAAGTGCAGGTTCTCTTTGACTAAAAGCTACAAATGTCCTTAGCCCCTTTGATATCCTTGTCCTGGCTACAGGCAGGAGATGGCAGAAGTGTTTAAGACAAATGTCTTTGCTGCCTTGGCTAGAGACCTGGGATGTCAGACTGGCCTGTGTTTTCTGTATCTTTCTCCCTTTTCTGGAATTCATACAGAGGGTGTGGCAGAAACTGACAGGCATTGGATAGTGAACTGGGATCTAGACTGACTGGTTCGTCTCTGCTCCCGCGTCTCCGTCAAGTAAAGCCTTAATGGTTCCAAGGTTGTGACCTTCAATAGCATCCAACCCTTTGGGGATCTCTCCTGTCATCTTACTCAAGCTCCCAACAATAAAACGCTTCCTAAAACCCACCTCTTATAAACTTCATTATTCAAATTCGAAAGGCAAGAACCTGGAGGCTGCTGACTCCCTCCAAGTTCTGTGTGAATACGAATGTCTGGCACCCTAACGTCCGAGTTAAAAGTCCACCTAGGAGCTAAGAAGGCTCTGTTGCTCTCAAGGACACCCCAAATTTTTATGTGTTAAAGGCACCAGAAAAGCAGAGAGGGTAATTCAAGTTGTCTTGAGCTTTTGCACAGCTGCAAGGGGGCTGAAGAACACAGAACTAAAGCGCTTGCTGCTCCCTGGGCTCTCAGGAAAAACTGTTAGGGCTACGCGACCTGATGCACAGAGAGGCAGAGCGAGGTCTGTAATACCATACTATATTTGAATTCTGTGACTCGGGGAATTTTCCCCTCTACCGTTCTCCAGATTAATAAAAATCCTTGACATTGTTCACAATCTTATTAAGCAGATCATGTTGCAAGTCATCTGGCGTCTGTTGAGTGAAGGAAAAATCCTTGGCATTCAATAGGCTATACTCAGAGCAGTGGTGGTGGGCATGGTGTTGACCTGAGCTTTTGGCTTCTCACAATCATGACCTTGCTACCCCCTTGTGATGTCAGCTTTCCTCTAGCCGCCCAACATTGCATTCATCTGACCTACCGTTGCGGCCATGATGCTGCTATTTATCCCATAGTCTAGAAGAGTTTGACTCAGTAACTAGGCCAAGTTCCATTGGAAACTTTGAATAGAAACATTTAAAAATTTATTTTGTGTGTGGAATTTTGGAATGCACAGGGTGCTGGGGAAGAACGATTTACTGTGTACATAAATCAGGACTTCAGCCTGAGTTCGGTACTGATTCTTATATTATCTCTGTGAAATCTGTTCTATTTCTATTCTCTCCCTAACGACAGCTCTAAAAACAGCAAAGCCATTTTCTACCACATAATTATTGTTTCAAAGCCTTTCTGAAGACCATGGAAATGCTTAATCGTTCATTTGCTTGTAGGGGGCACTCAACAAACACTGGTGAACATGAGTAATTCCCTTCGAAGGGGTTGCCTTTTGATTTAATTACTTTTTAAAGACAGGGTCTTACCGAGAAGTTCAGGCTAGTGTGGGACTCTTTAGATAGCCCAGGTTGGCCTGAAATTCTCAATCCTGTCTCAGCCTGTTGGATGTTGGGGTGACAGGATTATACCGCTCAGGCCTAGCTTTCAAGGGTTGCTTTTTAGTGTACTGACTGCAAATCCCATTCCTTCCCTAAGTTTTAAATTAGCTCTGTTGTCACATGCAGGCAGAGGATGGACAGCAGTCTCTGACACCTGTGAGGCAGCGGAGCACGTGGCACTGGACACCTGAGAGAACAACCTAAGACTGTAACTGCCAGTCTCAAGAACCCCTTGACTGTGTCTTCCTGTTGACAAGCGCAGTTCTGCCTACTTCAGGTCACAGACTTGGGCTGTGTCCTCTGCTCTTCACAAAGCTGTGAGGAGGACAGAGTGCCATGTTCCATTGGGCATCTCTCATCAAGGCCCACGGCTTATGGGTCAGTGTCTTGTTAGGGCCACCAGGCACAGGAGAAGACAGTGGGTTTAATGGGTCTCTTTCTGTCCCACCGTCCAGCTCCCAAATAATGACAAGGAGACTTATTAATTATGAAAGTTCAGTCCATAGCTTAGGCTTTTTTCTAACTGGTTTATATTACTCTTGAACTCATTTATATTACTCTTCATCCTGTCACATGGCATTACCTCTCTTCCATCCTATACCTCCTGTTTCCTCTATGTCTCCTGGCTTCTCCTGCATGCCTTGGTCCTCCTCCTCTTCCTCTCTCTCCCTGGAAATCCTGCCTATGCCTCCTGCCTAGCTATTGGCTGCTCAGTTTTTTGGTATACCAATCCCAGCAAATACATCCTCCCGCAGTGTGCAAACATCCCACAACAAGCCAGTTTCCACCGCTGGGGTGGAAGAGTGTTGTTCATCATGCTCTCTGGAACATGGTACTCATGGTTATCCCTCCTTTAGAAGACCTCAAAGTCAGACTCAGAGAAATGGACGCGCGCCAGACCTCGCCAAGGTAAGCAATGGAAAGAAACTTGAATGAGTTTATTCTCCTATAGACTCCAGCGTGAAGGATTTTCTCCTAAAGAGCAAACGATAGTACAGAATGTACCCTGTGATAGAAATTCTTCAGTTTGTCCCTTGGCAGTGTATGGGTTCATGGGTCCTGGCTCACGTTAGCACTGACCAAAGAGGCCTGCTGTGAGAGGCCCTCTGATTCTCTCCCTTCCGAAGCTTCCTTCTTGCCACATCCCCTACCTGACTTTTGGCTCCTGACAGCAGTCTGAATCTTAGGCTGTCCGAGACAGCTCGTTTTTTGACACTGGGGTGTTTTACGGCTTCTCGCCCCAGCCTTCACCTGGAGTGTGGCAAACTTTTACAGCTCACTGTGTTTTATGGATTTCTCTGGGCCATGTATATTCATTGTGTTATATAAATAATAATTGTGCAGTAAACTAGTGGGTGGTGGCACTTGGTCTCGGTGGTAAATCTTCAAAGGGCGGGAATATAGTTTTCCATAGGAACCGAAGGGAAAGTGTGACATTGAATCTTCCAAGCTTAAGTCGATGAGGGAATTTACACTAACCACTGCTTCAGTCGTGATGAATCACATTTATGGATCTGCTAAGGAGCAGCAGTGATGGAGACCAGGCTCCGCAATGCAGAGCCACTGCAGGGGCCGGGGCACAGTCCACCCGAGCTTCGCTCTAACCTTTTGAACACTGGCGTTAAAATGCAAGGACTGCCCAAATGTTGGTACTTCTATTCTTGCCTGTCATTGAGACCTTAATGAAAGTTACTCCTGCTTGTTTCAAAGAACCTCAGTAATTTCTAGAGTTCCTCCTGAGAAAAAAACAAGGCTATTTTCGAAAGAAATGCTTCAGAATGCTACTGCGAACGTCCTTACGTGGTACGATGTAATTTCCGTGAGGAAATTTTACCTGCGGTGAAGGGGCATGGCAGCTCCCTTCTAGGCAAAACACTCAAACACACCTGTAGGTTTCTGCTAGGTAGGTGAAAAAAGGGCGTTCTATTTACCTGCTGTTGACCTGATGGTTGAGGTCATGTTGGAGGGTGTCATCACGGGAATACATTCATCGTCTTGGGAGTAACCAGCTTGGATGGCCCGAAGGTAGCTGTGACTCCTTGTTCGGAAACATCCAGGCAGGTCAAGGGCGTCCATGGCCTGAGATTCAACTTCGCTGAAGACAGATTCACACACGGACTCGAACTGTCCATTGACCTCTGCCTCGCTCATCTGGAAGAGCAATAACACACGTGACGCCAGGATCCGCCAGGGTGGGTCACAGCCACGTCACACGAGAACCAGGGACAGAATGCACTCACAGGACTCGGTGACAGCTTTATATTTTCGGCGCAGCTAGTTTGAAATCCGCACTGGGACTCCGGTAAGCTTGGGGGCTGGCTTCTTAGGTTATCTCTTACAAAACAGGAAGGTACGTAACTAGCTACAGATGATGGACGTTTTGGGGACTCACCAGGCTGAGAGCCATCACAAGGACTAGGAGCCAGGGTGGGTGAAAGCCTCCCGAAACACCTGCTACACAGCCAAGGTCCACCTCTCAGGCCTCTCTCCTTCCCCAGTGACCCCTTCATCTTCCCCAGCTACCTACCGCTCGGGCTGACTCTGGGTTGGAGGCTGAAGAAGTAAGCACACACGTTCAAGTGCATCAGCTACTTTTAGTTCATTTTCAGGACGTGAGAGTCAGCTGCTGCTCATTGTCATGGAAACGAATCCCAAATTTGGCAGAGGCACTCCTGCCCTCATCACCATTACAGAATCATGAGCAGACTCAGGGTGGGGAAAACATGCTGCCTGTGAGGCGTTCTGTCCACATGAAACATGGTACATCGACTCAAATCTCAGGCGTGTTTCCCCCCTATTAGCTCGAGACTCGCAAGCATAGCAGATAAACGTAGTAAGTTCTTCATCTTGTGTCTTAAGCTGTGCCTATCAGTTCACCGTGAGAACTTAACTTTCCCTGTGTTGGAGAGCACTGGGTGGAGCCTGTCAGCCCTGGTGGGATCACAGGCTAAACTGACCTGACATGGGCTGGGCCATCCGCTCAGTCACAGGGGCCCAAGAGAACATGTTTTTTCTACGTGTCCTGATGGTGATGCTCACATGCAGATATCATATGGTGTTCACGGGCTGAAGCTGGAGATTTTTAACTGGGAATTCAGTAAAGGGGGGCGACAGAAACTGAAACCAGGTTGAAGGGTTAGGTGGGAGAAGCATGAACATGGAGAATTTTAAGCGGAAGAAGCTTAAAGGGGGTTAGCGAACTCAGGTCTACGTCCAGTGTTGGAGACAAGAGGCTGAGATCTCAACCCATGCTCCTCCCGGGGAGTTCCCCCCTCACTGACTCCGTCTTGGCAAATGACTTCTGAGATGGCAGGCAGAACCTGGAATCCTCTGGAAGACGGGCTTCTGAGCATGCTTGTGGGGGACTAACTTGACTGTGCTGAGGTGGGAAGACCCACCCACCCCTGGGAGGCACCACCCACCCACCAAGTTTGGATCCTAGACTGCATAAATAGAAACAGGGGCTGAGCAGCAGCAAACATCCATGGTTCTTCCTTTCCATGTGACCAGCTGCTCAAAGCCCCTGGTGCCTCAACTCCTCTACAGTGATGAGCTGCCCCTTGGAGCTATGAACCAGAATAAACTTTCCCCTTGAAGCTGCTCTGTCAGTGAGTTCCAACACAGCAATAGGGAAAGAAACTATGACACGCTCACCCTTCAAGTTCTCACGCTCTATGGGTCTCTCTCAGGCGTGTCTTTCTACATTGACATGCATGTACAGATAGGACACTGGTCAGTAGCATGATGGAGGATCCCGGGGATGCAGACAGCCAGAGTTCGGGACCCAGAACAGCGCCTATGCTTGCTATCTGATCCCCTCCCTCTCAGTACTTCTCTTTGTTCCGTCTCTCACCCCACGGGCCTAGTGAGGACCTACATTCTGAGATCTGGTGTTTATCCTCGGCGCGTGATGGACACGGGCAGACACATTTGTCTGTCCTGAGTCTTAGGCTGACATTCTCCACGCTGGCTCTCTCCTTCTCCATCCTGGCTGCCCACGACAGTCTGTCTCAGTGAAGTACTGGGAATCAAGCCATTGCACACAACTGTCTATGGCTACAGTGATCAACATTGGAGCACATTCTTAGGTGGGGTCTTCCGTGATCCAGACACGCCCCCACCTCTTCACCACCATGCAGAGGTCTCAGTCTATTCTTTAACTGGGCCACAAGCTAAGGTCATGAAAATGTCTTCTTCAAGCTCCTCTTCTCTATTTAGTTCAGAGTTCGAACACATCTCCCCTCTCTGTCGTGACCATCTCTACTTCAAATCCCACAGTAGAAAACTGTAGACCCCACCTGAAGTCACTTCACCAGCTCCAAGGCCACTTGGTCCCCATGCTTTCCCCACACCAATGGGACATCTTTGCCCCCAAGACCAGGAAACTCTGGCTCCTCTCTATCTGATGTCACACCCAAACCAGATTTCATCCTGACTTCTCCACCCCTTCCCTTTCTCCCTGTCTCTCACTATCACCCCCTCCACAAACACACACCAACAGCTGAGATCTAAGATTTTCTCCCTTTCTTGTTCTTTCTAGTCCATGGCAGCTGGTCTGCCAACAGTTTCTCAGTACCTGGATCATGCTGGCAGACAGATTAAAGGATAACATTATTTTAAAAGTCTATTTGTCGAGCCAGGTGGTGGTGGTGTACACATTTAATCCCAGCACTAGAGAGGCAGAGGCAGGCGGATATCCATGATAGCCTGGTCTACAAGAGCTAGTTCCAGGACAGGTCTCAAAGCTACAGAGAAAACCCTGTCTAAAAAAACAAAAACAAAAACAAAAACAAAAAAAGAAAAAGTCTGTCAAAGAATCAGGGACAGGGTGGGGTGATTCACAAAACCAGCTCTGAGAAAGATGGAATGGTCCAGAGCACGGCTGATCATGAAGGTGTGTGATATCAGTTAGAGACAGACATCTCAGAGGAGACAAGATACAGCATGACATCGTGAAATCTTAAGGTCACAGCAAGTCAATGCTCAGAACACATGGCTTCAACATGGATGAATCTGGAAGACAATGTGCTAAGCAAAATAAACTAGTTCTAGAGGGTTTCCTGCTGAGTAGCGATACTGACACCAGGTATCTAAACAATAGAAAATGGAGAAAAAGGGTGAACATGGACTGGGGAAAGGAGCTAGGGCTTCAGTATGGGATGATGAGAGCATTCTGGGGCTGAATGATGTGATGGTCTGATTGTGTGCACTGGAGCATGGAAATATTTCAAGTTATATGGCTCTATCATGTAACAACATTCCCTCCCAGAGGGTATGGGTAAGCTCTTAAGACTCAAGCAACAAACAACTAACAAGTCTCAGGAAGTTCCTGAAACTGAAAAGATTTATAAGACTACTCAGCAAGGTTATAGAAGTGGTGAGGCTTTGAGGGGAGAAGAGACTATTCAGCCTATCCCGCTGACTGCACATTGTGTAGGGATCCTCCAGGGAGGCAGTGCTCCTGGGTCGTTTCCCATGTTGGGGAAAACCTTTTGGGGCTGGAGTTTTCTTTCAGCTATTTGTGCTCCAGTAAGGAACTCAGATTAACTCATCTCTTCTCCAAATTGGACTTTGGCTGAATTGAAGTATATACCCTTGAGTATAGAAGAGACGTTTCTCATCTCAGGTGGGCATAACCCAGGAGTCAGTGGTTCTAGGTTTTTTAACCTCAAAATTCTGAAGAATAAATTTCATGGAGAAATGAGGTGTGGGTGAGACTGAAGGAAGATTTTTTTCATTATTATTGAAAATTTAAAAAAGATAGACTAAAGATTGATGGTTAACTTCATGATCCCTCTGCCTCAGTCCCTGAGTGCTGGAGCTACAGACATATGCCACCATGACCTGCTTCATAACAGCTTTAAAAATTATATTTGGAAGGGTCAGAAAGATGGCTCAGTGGTTAAGAGCTCTGATTGCTCTTTCAAAGGATCTGGGTAAAATTGCTAGCATCCACATAGCAGCTCACAACTGCCTGTAATTCCAGGATACAACACCCTCCCACAGATATATATATATATATATATGTGTATATGTATATATATGTGTGTATGTACACATACATATGCACTATATACACATATACATGTGTATATGCACATATACATACATACGTAATACACATATTTGCATATATATATAGGCAAATGCCAAAAAATGTATTTGGAAAATGAATTAACTGAAAGGGATAAAGGTAAGTGTTGCCTTTAAAAGATGGACGACTACCTCAGCAATGCCTATCCTGGGAGGAGAGTTGTTACAGTGTACACTGCCTTCACCTGACCTGTAAGTACCTTCCAAATCATCTTTGATTCTTCTTGTGGAAATGGAGATTTGTTGGTGAACCAGGCCACCACCGTTGCCTAATTATGAGGATCTGAGTGTGTTCTAATAATATTGTAGGAGAGGTAGTTATGGACGGAAGGGTCCCCTTCCAGGTGGCCTGAGACTAAAGGTATGTAGAACATGGGATTTTGAGAGCTAGGCCCCCATAGTCCTGACTTGTACAGTAGGAGCAGTTCTTCCCATGTTAGTTCCTAAAAGATCCTGGTCCAGGGCAACCTGACCTAGTTTCTAATAGGAAATAGTTGCTAAGGTAGGCTAAAGCGTATCATAGGATCATGACCCCAGTAGCCCCTGCTAGTTGTTAGTGTAGACTCTTTCATCTGTTTGCCCAAGTGAGAAACCTAGTACTTCTCCTTCTTCTAGGTCCAACCCCTCTCACTATGTGGTGACCCTGGATCCTGCATTGAGACTAGGTGTCTATGAGAAATAAGATCTGTCCCAGGAGCAAATGGCACCCAGTCCTTCTGTCTGTAGTGCTGGTGAGAAAACCAAGTCTTTGCCTGTGCCGGGCAGGTACCCTCTGTGGTGTTACTCTGCAACCTGTGACTTTGGTGGCTCTGTTAGGGGGATGCAGCATAAGCCAACGAGGCCATTTTGTTGGAAGAGGAAGAAAGCCCACGTTAAATCAAGAGAAATGGTTGCAAGCTCCTTGCAGGAGAGCGATGCCCATGGATGCCTGGGCAGTGTCCCACCATGGGAGCCTCTGACTCTAGCACAGCTCAGGAGACTGCACCCTCTATAGAAAAGCCCAGAAGAGGCCCCACCTGGCTCACACAGCTGGCCTGGCTCAGGGTGCTCACGGCCCGCATGTAGCTCTGGTTTCTGGACCGGAACTTTGGGGAGTTGTAGTTGACTGATGGGTCCAGGCTGTGACCAACAGGCACCTCGCTGGCAGCTTGCAGGTAGCTCTGGCTACAAAGACAGAGAAGAGAGAAACATGGTCCATGAGCATCTGGGGAAGGGTGGGAGGGCATGGCTGCCAGTAGACACTTCACGTCCATACTGTGGCCGGTGACACTTGCAGCTGAATGGCTTCAAATGGATGACATTGCTTTATGCAAATGTTATGGGCTTTTTGCATCTACACATGTGACTTCCATCAAAAGTTACTGGGCAGGTAATTTAGCAAATTGCTTTGAGGCCTGTGTTTTTATGGCTAGGCCGTGAGGTTAAGATCATCATCAATTAAAGAGGAAACAAAACAGCAACCAAACAGAAATGGAAGCCCGCATAACTCAGCAGAATAGCAAGCTCAAGTTCCAGGTTTCAGCCAGACCCCTCCAGAGCCTCATAAAAACATTGCTAGCTTCTTGGCAACTTTACATACGTAGAAAAAAATAAAGGCGCCATTTAAGTTTTTTTTTTTTTTAAAGATATGTCTTTACCTTTGTTTCTGTGTGTGCGTGTGTACCAGTGTGGGGTTATGAATGCGTGACTGAACTTGCCCAGAGAGGTCAGAGGAGAGTATCAAATTCTCGGGAGCTGTCCTTTCACGCGACTGTGAGCCACCCAGCATGGTTTGTAGGGACTGAACTCGGCAAGAACAACACGGTTCTTAACTGCTGAACCATCTGTCCAGCCCCTCACTTAGTTCTACGGGGAGAAGATTGTACAATACTCGCCTAGAGGGGCAGCAGGGAGTTCAGACCAACAATAGTCATTTTCTCCCAAGCTTTTTCAAAAGCCACGTTCCCCACTTTTCCAAATTGCTGTTTTGTCAAACATGAAAGCATGGGAAAACACCCAGGATGTTCAGCAGCTGGGTCTGCTTAGCTTAAGTTTCTGGGTGTGGGGGGGAATTTGGTACCTTTATCCTTTCAAATTCTATTGCCCAGTTTTCAACCGTGCCATATAAATTCATGGAGTGGTGTGGGAAGACATTATCAATCGCTTCTCCCTGATTTCGAGCTGGATGGGAAGACATTACCAATCACTTCCCCCTGATTTCGAGCCTGATGGAGCATTAGGTTTGCTGATGCAGCTCATAAGTAGAAATTACTCAGAAATACCAAACAGATTTAGACCCCATCCCTGGGCAATAAAGTAAATACGTCCAGTTTGCAGTGATTCTTTGTAGAACTTGTCTTATAATTTATTTCTTCATAAGTGGGGCACCAGGAGCTCATGGGAAGGCTCAGCGAGAAGGGGCTGCCCAGCCTAAAAACCTGAGTTTGATCGCCAGAGCCATGTGCTAGAAGGAGAGATTGTTCCTACAGTTGTCCTCCAACCTCCGCAAGTACCATGTGCCCTCTCCCACAAGTAAAGACAACTGAAAATGGGACATCAGAGAAAACAAAGGACTTTATAAGGTCAACTTGGTGATGTTTACTAATTGTAGACTTAATTCTGTTAAAAGTAACTTTTACTTTCAAAGAAGGTTCCTTACATACCCGGTTCCAGGCCCACCTTCTTCACGCCGCTTACTTTCTGTGTCTCTTTGGGATCTCTCACCCCTTACTTGTATGTCTACCAAATTCTCCCAGTGTCTCTTCCATTAGATTTCCCTACTCATTAACATCACTGCCCATACCATCCAACACTGCCCTCACCATCCACCCCAAGTTGTTTCTGAATCTGAGAAGCCTAAGAAGAACCAGCGTCCTCTGGACCTTGGTACCTGCTGCTCCTAGTCAGTGTCTGGTGCCCCAGATAAGAGTCAGCCTCACAACACAGCCAGAACCCTGCTGGCGGCCTATGTTAGAACCAAGAATACAGTTCAGCATGCAGGATGCTGCAATCCTGTGTTTCAAATAAGAATTCTAATTTTTTTCCAAAGTTGGATGAGCACCTGAAGAAAAGTAGCCACGGCAAAACACTTAAACTTAATAAACAAAATGAAACACCTAATAAACAATAGTTACCATTTGCTCCTGGCGACGGCAATCACAGCCATGTCTCCATGGCGTTTAACTATTAATGAAGGCCTAGGATCCGTACTGCAGAAGACTGTGTGTTCACGGAGAGTAAACAGCAATACTACTAGGTCCTGAGCCTCTTCAGGCCGGATGCAAAAGTTCACCTTTTAACTCCACCATCAAAGCTGCCGAAGAAGAGCCGGAGTAGCCGGAGTGTCTCTCCCATCTTGTTACCACATCTAACCCTCCCTTGGCACTGGTAGGGAATTGGTCCCAGGACCCCAGGATCCCCCAATCCAAGGATGCTCATACACATTTCCTTCTGTATTCTCTAATTGTGTCCCATGATTTACATGCCCGACATCACATAAATGCATCTGCTTATAACTTACATCTTTCTATACATTTTAATCGTCGTCAAATGACTAACATGCCTAACACAACGTAAATGCGAGGCATCATTCAGAAAAGTCTCTATGTGTTCAGCACAGAGATAGTCACATAGGTAACTCATGCTGGAGTGTCAAGGGGCCATGGCAAGGATATGTCCACTGGTCAGTTCACTCTCCCGATTTCAGCATAGCCCTTCCCTCATAATAACATTCAATTTCGCCTTTTGCACTTTCTGGAATTTTTATTTTTTAATATTTCTGCCTGTGGTTGGTTGAATTCATGAATTGGAACCCAGGTACAGAATGTCAATTGTATTTTTAAGACAGTGATAAACCCCCTTTAATCTCACTAGGATTAACAGTGATTTTGAAAGTATTATAATGGTTTACATTTATATAATATTGTGCCTCAGCTGCCACCATCTGGGAGCTGGGTACAGTGGCTCATGGTCAGCACCCTGGATGCTGAGGCTTGGCAGGTAAGTGTGGGGGCAGCCTGGGCAAGAGCCTGTTTCATAAAACTAAAGCCAACAAAAATCCCAAACAAATAAACAGATGAGAATCACAAACCTGGGGACTGAATACCAAGAGCTGACTGTGGGAGGCACAGTGATGGCCTAGCATGCACAGGTGAGGGTCCTTTGCACATCATGGGGGTGGCAAGTCTCAAGCTCTCGCTGGCAAGGCCTTGCCATTGCTCATCCATGAGAGGCTGTCCTTGACCCATGCTAACACTTCCAAAGTGGACTTTCTCCCCCTTGGCTTATTCAAAGTGGGAATTTCAACTTCGTCATCTCCGTTGACAGTGTCTTGAAAAACAGCTTCCTACATAGATGGGTGGTAGCTCTGGAAACTGCAGAAGGGAACCATTTTCTGGAATAATGTGTGATATTTTCGTTCTACTTTCTGCCTATCAGATGTTGCCCACATGAGATCATTATCTATGCAGAAGGGAGACAGGAACCCCAGCAAATCCCAAAGAAGGGAAAAACACACAAACTAACATCACCAACAATGAAAATTAAATTAACAGGAGATATCAATCAATAGTCATTAATATCCCTAATATAAACAGACTCAACTCACCTATAAAAAGACACAGGCTAACAGATTGGGTATGAAAACAGAATCCATCCTTCTGCTGCACACAAGAAACATACCTCAACCTCAAAGACAGACATCACCTCAGAGTAAAGGGTTGGGAAAAAAAATTCCAATCAAATGGACCTAAGAATCAAACTGTTGTAGCTATCCTAATATCTAACAAATAGACTTCAAACTAAAATCAATCAAAAGAGACAAAGAAGGACATTTCATATTAGTGACAGGAAAAATCCATAAAGAGGAAATCTCAATACTGAACATCTATGACCCAAATACAAGGGCACCCTAATATATAAAAGAAACACTTCTAAAGCTTAAATCATACATTAAACCCCACACACTAATAGTGGGAGACTTCAACAACTCCACTCTCACCACTGAACAGGTCAGTCAGACAAAAAATTAACAGAGAATAAGGGAACTAACAGATGTTATATTTCAAATGGACTTAACAGGCTTCTATAGACTATTCCATCCAAAAACAAAAGAATATACCTTCTCAGCACATCATGAAACCTTCTCAAAAACTGACCACATACTCAGTAACAAAACAAACCTCAACAGATGCAAAAAAAATTGGAATAATCCCATGTATTTTATCAGATCACCATGGCTTAAAACCAGAATTCAACAGCAACACTAATTCCAGAAAGCCCATAATTATTTCTTTAATGATTTTTATTGAGCTCTACATTTTTCTCTGCTCCCCTTCCTGCCTCTCCCCTCCTCCCTTCAACCCTCCCCCAAGGTCCCCATGCTTCCAATTTCCTCAGGAGATGTTGCAGAAAGACAATTATTATATGTACTCACTCATAAGTGGTTTTTAAACATAACGCAAAGAAGACCAGCCTGTAGATAAATCACAATCCCTGAGAACATAGACAACAATGAGGAGGAGAGACAGTCATACATGGGTCTCATCTACATGGGAAGTAGTAAAAGACAAGATCTCCTGAGTAAATTGGGAGCATGAGGACCATGGGAGAGGGTTGAAAGGGAGGGAGAGGCAGAGAGGGGAGCATAGAAAAATGTATAGCTCAATAAAATCAATAAAAACCCACTTAGGATGACATAAAAAATCTCCAAGACATAATATACCTAATATGAAGTTCCCAAGAGAATTCTATATAATCAAAAATAACTGAGAAGGATATGATATTAAATTATCTCATCAATGTAGGTCTAGAATGTTGAAGAAAGTGGTTTACTTTTCATGTGCAAACATGTTTGTGTCAGTTGAAATCGAACACTTGCTGTTCCATCATTTTCTAATTGGCTTCAGTGTTCAGGCTTTACACATCACTGCTGACCTGTCCTCTAAAGGAATTGTGTTAAATCTCATGATGTGCTTACTTCGATATTTGATGAAAGGAATAAGATTAGAGCTACTACAGAAACCTTGTCCTTATCACCAAACAGTTCAACACAAGCTGTGTGTGATTTAAGACTCTAGAAATCCTCTAGAATAAGTTGTACCATAGTGGCACACCCGAAAAATAAAATCTTCAGGCTCTTTGCTTAAGAAAAACAACAACTTCTTGAGGAAAACTAATCATTAGTG